GCCAAGTACTTTTAATTGCAAAGGAAAAGGATGTTAAGCTCTCCCATTTGTTTCTTTCAAATTCATAAGGGACACAGCAGTGGTTGGTAAAAGTTATAGGTTAAGGGTTCTCTCCCCATCTCGCTTATTAAGGGACTTTGCATCCTCCTCCTGCTGCCTTGCAAACAGAAGTTACCTCCATTGCAAGGGCAGGAAAATCTATTTTGTCATTTGTAAAATACTGAAAAGGCAAGTCATTGTAAACTTACTAACAAACAAGCATCAGGGAAGCCCGAATGGTACCGAAACCTTTCAAGGCATCCATTATAACTGACGTTTGGAGTCACCTTGACCAACACAGGTCTCATTTAGGGATGGACATGCTAGTACTCACCCAATGCACATAAAATAACTCACAGCATCCAACTCAGAACTCATCACAACAGATACAGAGTAGCAGCTTTGACTGAAGCAAAATGCTGCACAGCAAGTAGTGAAATAACTGGAAAAACAGATGCTTAATTTCTACTTATTTTTGGCAACCTTGTTTCTATGATATGTTAGATGAGAGGAAAAAAGCTGCTGAATGCTGCTTAGCAAAAAAAACCATGAACCACAGCCACATCTATGGACTATCAGGGTGACACGTACTATAGCCCTATTGAAAGATATTTTTCTTTTGATCAATCCATAGAAGGGTCTAAATGAATGTTTCCATATGGGGTTTGTTCCTATTATGCAAGATCTGGTGAGCTACATTGTTTGAGACAAAGCGATTAAGTGAACTGAAGTAATGCTTTGGGCTTGGTAGTGTTTTAAGAAGTGTCTTCACCCCACCTCTTCAGCCTTGGGACAAGAGACTTATTAGCTCATTACCATGCAAATCAACTAAAATGTAAATTAAATGCTACATCCTAACATAGCTTAATAGCCCCAGCAGCAAGAATTCAGTTAACTTTAATGGACTGTAATTCTATCCAAAAATATAGTTTATTAACAAGCACATACAATGAATTGCACCACTAACTTTAAATAAAACATCTAGCAAGCTCACCTTCACACTAAGTGACATTTGGTTAATACAGAGCAAAAAAGCAATACACATCTGCTTTCAACAGACACAGAACAAACTCAGTTGCAATCCAAGTTCAAGCTGTCATCCAAAGAAGGGCACATAAAAGCAAATGTGATGAAGACTTCACATGAACCTTGCCATTTCTTTCCACCAGACCTTTGGTCTCTTACAAAATAGGTCTGTAATACAAAAAGTAATAAAAACTCTGGATTCAATTTACTCAGCCTCCTCCATCACAAGTTAACTATAACACTTTGCAACAACGTGAGTACTATCAAGAGGAAAGTAAGAGGCAAAGATAGTTGCATCTTAGAATTACAAAAAGTTCAGGTGCAGATAGAGAGGCTGCCTAGCAGCAAGCATGGACTTCAGTGTCATTGTCCCAGTATATGCAGGAAATACAAAGATGGTAAAACACATTCTTCTTTCACATCATATAAACTTGATCCATCCTCCACTGACATCAAGGCAAAAGTTCTTCTGTTATCAGTGGTACTCTGATGGGGCTGCAGTGGCCTTCAAAACAAAGTCATCCTCTCTAGCGAAAGGTTTGTCACTCTCCAGTCTTCAGCTTGGCTGTGATGTCAGTAAAACCTGACACACTGTTACCACATGGGTATTACAACAGTTTCACCCTCCCTTCATGCCAGAAAAAGGGATTCAGCAGAATTCGCTATATAAGAATTTCAGCCAGCTTGGCAATAAACAGCTCCACTCTGCTCAGTCTAGGATCTTAACCTCATTGCAACGAAGTAAACAGAAGGTTTGTAATCAACTTCAGTAAGAGCCCAAAAGAAGGATCAGGCCAAAACAGAAAACTACACACTTCTTGATATTTGACCTTGTTCTTTGCACAGGAAAGGACATGTGTATTTCTGATCTTCCGGGGAAGTAACAGGAAGGTTCCCAAGAAGAGTGCTCCAAATGTAACAGTGTCCACGGTAAAACCACTCAAGCAGGATTTTTAAACAAAGCCAGAGATTCCTCCGTTTCCTTTGTGGCAGAAAAAAAGTTTCTAAAAGCAGTGGGGTCCCAATTTTATTAATGGTGCCTGTTATCACAAGATAAACAAAAATTATGCCTGTGCTCCCTAATCACATTAGGAGTTAGTCTTTACACTGAAAAATTTTGTAGCAATATCAACGGGTTAAAGACTTACTTTCTCCCATTTCTCTCCTCTTTCTCATGCCTAGAAAAAACCCCAGAAACATCTGCTTCCTAAGCAAAGAGTTAAGATCTACTTTTATGACAAAAAAACCCTTTAAAAATGGACATTTTTTTTCAACTACTCTAACCAGATTTTTGTCAGTACAAGGAAAAATTTATCTCACTGTGAACTAACCTGATGAACAAGAGTAAGCAATCAAAAGTTACCTAGACATAAACGCATCAAAGAGTAGTCCAAGTATTGTGACACCTTGTATTGAAAAACAAGTGATGCACAGTTCAATCAGCAACAAGCTCCCTCTCCCCCCTGCAACTGGCATAACTGGCTCTCATGTGAGCTAGTTATTAAATACTCTTACAGCAGAAAATCTTTAGAAAAATTTGGACAAGTGAGAATGGAGTTATTTTAATCTAGAACAGTGTCACCCAAAGATACAGATGAATGCAAACACTGTTCGTATTAAAAATTTAAAAAAATCAGAGAAACATGAATTTAAGCTGCATTTTCAGTCTATATATTGTCTTTCCTCTTCCTTGTTTTCTAAGAATAGGGTACGACATTTCAGCTTCAGTTGAGTGTTTAAGTCATTTATCCATTGAACATTAAATTCTTGAAATATCATCTATTAAAATGTTAGTTAAGATTCATCCTGCTTATAGAACAGACAATTTCTTCTGAACTGCACTCATAGACAATAATAAACAGGTTGATATGAACTCAATTAAAAATAATTAGATTATGAGAAGAAAAAGAAATAACTTAAAAATAAAATCAAGCTCCACTCTTACTCCTAATAAAACAAATGCCAATGGCTTTTAGCTGATCAAAAGATTTAACTCCAAAATAATACGTATAGACTGAATTCAGAAATAAACTGTGTTTTAAAAATCTATAAATTGCTATTAAAAAAGGGCAAAAAAATTCCAACAAAATATCTCCTTCAAAAACAGAGGAAGCCACAGCAAAAAATAATACAGAAAATTCCTGATCAGAGTATTGTATCAAAAATTAATATTTGTAACACTACCATAGTTCTCTCGTTATCCATTAAAAAAAATGGATTCTGTACTACACTTGCACATGCATTTCTGATCTAGGTGTAATTGTACATGGGCAAGTTACATGTCAACTGTGTAGTACTGCAGGAAAAGAAAAAAGCTGAAGGTTTTTGCTGCTTCAGCAGTAAACCCTGTTGGGTGGGAAGGCCTGTTGGGAATACCAACATTGAAACAAATTAGTGAAAAGACAGAGTCAGAAATCCAATAGTACAAAGTCTGCTTGGACATGGCTCTTTCCCCTACTGCAAAGCAGATTTAATAAATGGGATTTATTTTAGAAAGTTTCACAATTCTTGAACAGTAGATGATACTTACATTCCTGAAGGATTAAGTTCTACATTTCTTAATGCTAATTCAACTCTCTAAAACCAACCCAATAAAACCAGCAAAGCTTTTACAAGTAACACGCACAACCTAAAACTTCCACCCTCAAAACTGCCTTTTTGGTACTCTTTTAAGCTTTTAAGATACTCCATTTATTGAAGAGATGCCAGGAAGGCTGCAGCAGGAAAAAAATTCTTCTTTGGCAAAAGGAAAACATTTTAATGCCTCCTCCCTTCGAAGTATGCACACCTCACCACAACATATGCTAATATACTACCAAATAAGTCTCTTTATCTTGCCGTTTTTATAACAGTTTCATTCATATCTATTTCAGCTTGTAACTACCTACTGCACAGAGTAGCACACTGTGCTAAATCAACAAGTACTTTATACCCAAGAAATATAAAATAATAAAAAAAGAACACATTATATTAAAAAAATTCCAAAACAAGAGGGGATAATTTTGTACAAAACGTTTCAGTGTAAAATAAAAATTTTAAGTCATGCAGACATTTTGGGCCTTTTTTGCATCCTTTGTCCTTTATTTAAAAGGAACAAGATCTAAAAAATGGATTCACACAAAGATGACAGTGACTGGAAATTTGTGCTAAATCTGACATTAATATATGAAAACAAATGTTACAGCCCTTCTGAGAAGATATCTGTGTATGCATATATACCTATGCATGGAGATACACACCGATCTCCAGCCTTCTGAGGCACACACTCCACTGACACGCTTTCACAAATCAGCCAAATGCTGAATCTAGAAAAAGATGAATACCAACTCTTTGCAGATCTATAGTCTGTAATTGTAAAAATATAGTAAATATATTTACTATCATATTATTACTTTTTCAACTGAACTTTGTACTTAAAGTAATCTTTTTCCTGAAGAACTCAAAGAAGCAAAAGGGAAAGTGTTTTAAACAATAAAGAACTGGAGTGATGAAAATAAAGAAAACACACCCTCAAACATGCTGGAACAAGACCATTTGGGGTAGAGATCAGGACCGGCTTTCCTGACTGAAACAGGATCTTTAGTCTCCAGACATATCCTAGTTACACCAATTAAACCACCGTGGCTTCTAATGATACCAGAGAGAAAGATCACCTTTTAATACATTGATTTAAAAAGCACAGTTGACTGTCAAAGACTTGGTATACAACTGGAATAACTCTTCTGAGCAAAGTTTTACGACAGGAAGAAGAAAAAGCTAAATTCTATGGGCAAGTCACTGGGATCCTTCAAAGGCTTCTCTAGGCTTAGAACCATACACCCAAATCCAGCTGTAGGAGTTATGAGGATGAGGGGGTGATCAAGTGAAAACTGGCTTGTCATAACAGGACCTTTTTTTTTTCCCTTTAGAGGAATGAAAACTGCCTCAAATGATGCAATGGGTCAACCTGAAGAGAGCCACATTTAAGAAATACTGGAAATCCTGAAGTCAGAGCTTGTGAATTTGTTTGGTTTGTATGTTGTCTTGGAGGAGAGAGAAGTTAATACTTTTAAAAGCTGGTATTAACACTTCCGAAAAGTTTCTGCAGTTCTTCCAAATTTGATAGAGCAGGACTTAAGTGCCTCTTACTGTTCCCGACTGGGCACTTCTGCTGCTTTGGCACGCGCACACACACAGTATTCCAGTACCAGTGAGATACGACGTCTAATGCGACTTTAGACTGGCAGCACTCCTGAGTCATTTTAAATGTTTATCAACTCAGTAGGTCAAAAGTCTGCAGACATTGGGTGGAGCAGCAGTATGCCACAAAACTAACAGTTGTCCTCCTAGGAAAAAAAAAAAAAGAGGGGAGGGGGAACAGTTGTCAGTAAAGATTAAAGCTCCTGGCCCCATTCCACAGCAGACAATATGCTGGTTTGTAAAATACAGGATTAGCCAATCTCAACACTTCAGGAAAAAGAAAGTTCATTTGCTCTATATGAGTGCCTGATGCAAAGGCAGAGAAACACTGCGGGAGTTCTCAAAAACCTTCCTGGTTTCTTATGTATTCAGTTTAAAGCAGCAGTATGTGGTTTTTCTTTCTGTGGAGGGTGTGGCTGAGTGTTACAGCCAGTAGGTTTAACAGCTCAAAGGAAAATAGCTCGGCAATTCTGTGCTTCAGCTTTGCTCGTGTGTTTCTTAAATTATGGCTTGTAGTCATGAAATAACTGAAGTCCAGTGTCCTCCTTTGGTTCAACCGAGTGACTAAACTGGGCCCAGATCTTCAGAAAGGACGATGGACAGGCAGAGCTGTCACACTGTGCCAGGTACTGCAGCAGGGGCTGCAACATGAAAGCGTGATACTAACCCTCACTGTGCTCACTGTGACCCTCCTGACAGGGACCTAGATATCTGCTTTTAAAAACTCCAGATCTGTTTTTTACTAACCCAGAAATCACACTTTGCCCAGTGCTCATGTCATGCTTTTTCAGATACAGAAATCCAGTTCAACACTTAACTATCCGTTCCTATAAGAGGATACAGAATGTGAGACAGAAATACAGACAGAAGTTACTGGCCATGGGTGTGGTATGTGCTAATCAGTGCTGTTCAAACATTCAGGATCCTTACCCTGTGTGTTTCCATGGTCACTGTAAGCTCTTTGGAACAGAAACCCTGTTCTTCACGGCTTTCTAAACCAGCTATCACACCTCTACAATTCCACATAATCTTACCATGTCAAGTGCACAAGCTACAGAGATAAGGATGAGAGGCTACCCTGCTTAGATCTTATTTTCTGTGGATTTGCATCACATGTCAGCTACTGTATTCACTCTGGCTTTGCAGAACACAGTACATTCTTGTCTAAGGGAGGGCATGAGAACCATTTTTTAAACAAGTGAAAGCCATGCAGAAATAAATATTTTCAATTAATATATTTTGGAGTGTTAATATAGTCTTTTTCCAAAATAGCCTTAAAGGATATTTTTGTTGAGTCGTAACTTTAATAATTCTAAAGGTGTCTACTGGTATGTCATCTCATAACTTTTAAGTTCTACAATAAACCATGCTTAGCAATTAAGTAGAAGGTAGAACTCTCTACTATAGTTCAAACTCTCCCATTGTTGGATTATTTCAGATAATACAAGGATTTAGTGACCAGCAAGTAAGTTTCCATCACTTTCTTACAAAATGGTACTGTTCTAATGGAGCTCAATGCTTGAAATAAATTCTTTATAGCATGATTATAACTTCTTACGACACCCTGACTATAAGGAGTCCAATATATAAGCAATTTATTTTATTCAACATGAAATCCATTGAATTTTCAACTTGCAACTGAAGTGTAACAGAATGGCAAGTTGAAGTACGCAATCTCTGCAATCAGATCTTTCTAAGAAAGATTTTTCCAAAATAGCACTTATGCAGCCTTCTGGCTGCTGTCCAGATTTGGCATACCTAAGTTGTTTTCATTTCATCAAGTTGAATTGCTTACAAATCATATCTATTATGCCACAAACTCACAGCAAAATAACCTGCGATACATCTGTGGAAAACAGGTACCATCAACCTGAATCACCAATTAGTCTCTTCTTGTTTCCTAAAGATCTTCCTATTGAAAAGCAGTTTATTTTTTTTATGGACGATAACTATCAAATCAATTGATTTCAGCAAGACAAGAACTAAGTGGCAATCTTCTACATTATATATCCCAACAAGTAATTTCAGAAACATTCCTTTTTAAAGCACCTTTGGTTTCTGCTCCCCACCTTTAAGAAGATGCTTTGTAACTAATGGCTTGACATGAATTGCCTGAAAAGAACCTGAGCATCACATTTGCTTAACTCCAAGTGACATTTCTTTAAAACTTCTTTATTACGTTTCAAATAGTACTGTAGTTCTGTTCAAGTAGAAGCAGTTGAAGTGTCTCTGATTATAGTCTTCCATTGCAGCAAGTGGATTCATTGATATCATGGCTCATTGTAGGCTACAGTATCAGCTCAGACTAATATGGGTTAGGGAAGGAATCACTGCAAACAATTGGTGCTCATCTTAAAGGTATTTTAAATCTTTATCTATATGAAGGCAATATTCCCTGAACCATATCCCAGTTTTGAGTCCCTGCACTGTCCAGCAAGTCAAGAACTCTGTGCAGGCTTGTCTACTTGACTTGTAAATGTGTCTGCGGGATTCACAACTGCTACAACCATAATAACTGAAATATTTTTTAAAAGATGTATTGCTACAAAACGTATGTTACAATGCAAGAATGTTTCCATAGCGTATCTCAAGTTAATTAGTGTGGAAAGAAAAAACAAGAGTATCACTGCAGGACATTTTAATTAAGCTCTGGCTTTAGAGCTTTTCTCTGCCTTTAATCCTACTGCACTTTTATTTGGTGGTGGCATTCTCCTGAAGTCAGGGTTGAGATCATCGGGGGCAGTATTGGTGTTAGGCAGTATTTCATTCCCAAGGCACAGAAGTGCCGTGTACATGCTGCATCACCGCAAACCAGTCAATTCCATCATATCAAAACCCTTCCCTATCTTACAGCAGCCTGAAAGAGGCAAGGGTGGGAGCCCCACTGTCTGACAGCACTATGCTGGTTTTCTTGTAAATAAAAGCTTTGTCCACTTTTGCATGCAATCATAGGAAAGGTGCTTTAGATCTGAAATGCTGCTAAGTTAAAAAAAATTCTTAAGAATATGCTTTGTTCCATAAGGTGTTTTTCTTCCTCAATGAAACCCCAGTGTAATCGCCTGTATAATTACCCTTGATGCAATCCTGCCATTGGAGTTTCTCTCAAGGGCAAGAGCTTTGGGTAGACAATGGTAAACATAGGCTGGCTGCAGCGGTGGCAGTGTCCCAAGGGACAGTGCAGCAATTCCAAGAGGCTTTTGGGTAGTGAGATTGGAGTCAGAAAGTTCAACTCTGGAGAAGAAAAGAAACAAAAGAGGCTTGTAACAAAACAATTGCATGATAAAACACAACAAGCATGATCCAGGAACAATTCAGAAAATCAGCTGTCTCACATTCTTAAGACTTTGTCAAAAGAACAAGGTAACACAAATTATCCCAATTAGGGTGAAGCACATGGTGCTTTCCATGTATAAACTCAAAAACTTAAATATGTAAGTTTAGCATCTGTGGCCATAAGATTAATGGGGCTCAAATACCCATACATTATAGTTCAAGCAAATACCCGATATTATAACTCAAGCAAACAATAAAAAACAGTAATATATCATAAAACATTTTTAGACACAAAGATTATCTAGACAGCTATTTGGTAATTAATAACAACACAAAATTCTGAAAAGGACATCAGTAGTATTTTACTAAAATATTTCAGCAACGAATCCAGCAGGATAGCTAAGCTCACTAAAAAGCCCAGACTCCACCATCAGCAAACAGGGATCTGAAATATTTAGAATTACTTGAAATACAATCCAGCCCAGCATAATTCTCAAGGGTCCAACCAAAGAGACCACTCTAAAAAGATCAATACGTTCATCATCTCTTAAGTGTGCCCCCACAGTTTACAAGATGCCATTATTTTCACCATAAGGGACTCCAGGGTCATTCCATGGAAAAGAACAATCTTTTTCTCAAGCTTGGCCCAAGCCATGTAGTGTTTTACAAATTAAACCCAACATGCTAATCTCCATCCAGAAACTGACAGACAGCCAAGACAGGTGAATGAGTTTAGTTGCTGAGTAATCAAGACAAAATGCAGTACCTGATAAATCAGTTTTGCGATATCACACTAGTTTCAGCTTTCAAATGCTGTAAGGTTTAACCCATACACAATGTACCACAACAGCCTCAATCTAGACGATAAGCGTGACGAATAGCACATTTGCGTCAGAAAGAAAAGGTCACATTGTGTAGCCAAGCAAAGACTGAGGAAAAGTAGTCCAGTCACTTCTGTCATACTTACCTAGCAGCAGCCTAGTACTTAACAGCACCCTTGAAACTGCAAATTTAGGCAATCAGTGAGACACGAAATCTGCTACTTTAATCACGTGCCACCTGCTTCCCCAGCACACCATTATCGTACACCTGCCTGAACTGTGTTACTCCTGCCTCACAGAAATGTGGGTGTCACCAGTGGCAATGCATGTAGTCTTTATTAAAGTCACTCAGAATAAGAATATATATATGTGTGAGGGTATATGTAAATATACAAAAAGACTATTGTAGCAAACTAGAAGTAGACAAGATAGGTAAAAAAAACATTTCACTGTCTTTTTCAAGTTCTGCAGCTTGGCTGCAACCAGATGTAAACCTCACAGCCTTGTATAAACCACCTGCAAACCATTTCTTAAACTGATTTTGCAATGCTATCTTGCTATTCCCAAACCAAACTTCACCAGCATCTTCAGGAACCACATTCACAGCCATAATCCAGAACTTATTGTGTCCTCTACATCAGTAAATACATTCTCCAGAAAGCAGTGCTGTTTCCTATGCACACAGACTGGTATGTTTATCCCACCCCTCTACATGAAGCTTTTTTCCTTCAGTGTATTTGCTGCAGACCTCCTTGTACGCTTTTCCTGGCAAAGCAGTAATTCAGCAGTTAGGATTTCCTCCAGTGGCCATGGTAAAAGTGACCCCTTACCATATCCCTCCAATCTTCCCATTGCAACTCTCCACCCTTCTGCTTTCTACTTTCACCTCTAAAGCTGACAAACTCCCAAAATGCCTTGAATAGGGGAGAGTCACATCTAAATCTGACAAAATCTGAATCTGCAGGTTATCATCAGATAGTGCTAACTCATGTGACTGCGTGATGCATAACCAGATGAGCCAAGGGCCACTTTACAGCAAAGAGTCTGAATTGGGGCAGAACTAAAACAGCTCAGCTGTCACGCTGTACTGAAATGGCCAAGGGCTGCTAGCATTTCTTTTGTATAACAAGTCTGCCAGTTTAGGAGTCTGCTGCCTGGCAAGAAGTTGCACTGTTGGCTGATGCATCTAATCTTGCCTCAGGAACTGTATTTCCCATCTCCTACTTCCACTAAAGAGTTTCTCCTGCAAAAAGCATCCTTCCTTATACAGTCCTCAAGAAAGAAATAATTTGTAAGCACCATTAGACCTCAGAAGTAATATTTGGATCTCCATTTTTTGATATTGGACATTTTTGTTCTAATACAGCATTTCAAGCATAATTTGATTAAATAAATCTTTTAAAATATTAATCCTTGCCCAGCTCTTTGAAGAGCTATTTTGAAATGTTCTTATCACTGCCAGAAAAGCACTTTCACTCTTTCTGTAATCTGAAGAATGCAGAAATTTCATACCTTTTAAAAACCTGTAGTAGGTGTTATAGAGGGTCCTCATGGCCAGTTCTTGCAAAGGCAGCACACGATCTGTTTCTGTCCCTATAGATTTCACCTCTGCTGGCAGGAACACTGTTAACTGGCCCGATGAAAAAGAGAGCAGTTTCACCTCTGAAACTTGAATTGGAGAACCACAACTAGAAGGACACAAGACATTTAGAAAATGGTTAGAAAAACAGTAACGGTAACTTGATTGAGAAACCCAGATGGCCAAAGTATGCCTTATACTGTTCTTCAGTGCAGCACCCTTCAAGGATTCCCTGCAGACTGCAATACACGTTGACACACATTTTCTATACATCTCCACCTTCTGTAACGTGCTAGTCGTGGGACATCTGGAGGTCTTAATTTATCAAATAACATTCAAAAGCTGAAGAAATGAAGACACAATCCAAGGAGGTGAACCAAGTGCACCGTGTGTCCTTCACGTTGCCAACACACTCATCTCATTCAGCCTCTGAATGTCATTATTACTAAATGTTTTACACAGGGGAGCAGTTTCATACCTAACAGTTGTCTGCCTGTGTCTTGGAGCAACCAGTTGAGAATGGTAATGGGTTTCTCAATTATAATATGTGAAGCAAACTACAACTAGCAAAAAAAATACCATATTAAGTGCCACCGGATGATTCTTTACTATACCTTTTCCCATCCTCAGAGCTTCCTTGGAGGGTGTGGGTGAAGGAAAAATAAAAGGAACAGCCTAAGCTGTAGTGGAAAGATATCCTAGTAGGCCTACTAGCCTCGTCCTTCACAAATCATACAAAGAAAAGGAAGGCTATTTGGATCCAAGGAGAGAAACTTAGCTTGTAGTAAAAATAATAACTCTTTACATGATCCCTGTTGCAAGCTATCATACCAAAGAGACACGCATAGGAAAATTCTACTAAGAGGCTGGAGAAGTCAACAAGGGAATCGGAATTGTTTATGACAACTAAAATTTGAAGCCAAGAGCAACTTGTTAGGGCCAGTCCTGACAAATGGAACAGAAACAGAAATTTGTCAGCCTTCCCAGATATTGGACCTAAAACTGAGGTAGCTACACTCAGCCTTATCAGATGTGAAAGAAATCTCATAGTACTTCTCTGATAAGAAAGAAACTCATCTCCTCTGACTAAAGGAAAAGCAGCACAGAAGAACAAGCAAAAAAGAACAGCATCAAACATCAAGTCAATAAGCCTCTTGTTAAATATTTAATACTTTCCCACAAACCATTAATGGGGTTAAAATATAATTGGGAATTCAGAGATCCAATGTTCCAACAATCCATTCCCCAGCAATCCATACTCAATGAGTTAGCTATCACACAGAATAAATCTATAATGCTGTATTTTCAAGCTGATTAACCCCTTACCCACCTAGCTAGAAGACATACAGAAGCTCACTACAGTTTCTGCAGTTCAGAGCTGGACCATTTGGTCTACTCTACGTAAAGGGTGAGCCTATTAACACCTGACTTTGTCAACACTGAAAGCCAAAGTAAACAAGCAAAACAGACCGTTAAGAAGAATAATCTAAGAGATAGACACCCTTAAAACAGGATGGATTAGGGAATTAATCTCAAGCTATAAGTAACACTGGGTGCAAGAAGAATTAAAAAAAACCTGCACAAAATCCATGGAGGTGTAAAAGTAGAATAGAGGATGGTCTATCTAGCTGGAAAAAAAATGGAGCTGCAGAAGAACCTTGGTGAATAAATAACTGGGAAAAAAAAAAGCTGTGACCACTTATTGGTTGCCTTCAACAAGACTGACAGATATCTAGCTGGAGACTATGAAACCCAATCTGCAAAAAAAATAAGATCAAAATTTATTTTGAGTGCTGAGATCATCACCTCTTACATAAAAGACTTTTTCAGTCAGTCTGACTGCAGGATTCCCAGACAGAGATTCATTACTTACACAATGCAATTTCTATTCTATTTTCAGAAATCTAGCTTTATGTTAGTAACAGCAGCATGTCAGATTTTATTCTCCAGTGGATGACCAGACAGAGCACTAAAGCCTGGACCTTCAGCTCTTGCCTGACCCATGAAAATCTTGCATTGGTTACTAATGCTTTCTTGGAAAGAACACAGAAAAATCTTCACATGACCATTATCACACAGTTTTAATGTCACTCAGCACGTTATCAAATAAAACCTTTGGTTTCTTAATAACACATCTAAGTGCTCTTCCTATGTTGAAAATTGTCCTTTAAAATAATCTATGATGTTTCAAGATGGTTTCACAATATAAAGACCAATATCTGTTTGGTACACAAATACAAATATTATTTTGCTTACCAAAATTAATTTTAAAAAATTCTTTATTATTAAGGAAAAAAATAACATTTTTTTATTCCACAGAAGCATTACAAGAATTAAATTCATTGCAACACTGGCAACTTTTTTTGTTTCTTCTATACTCGATTTATAATACTCTCCATCAGAGATACTAGCAGCTAGCCTCACCAGCAGTGTACATGTACCGACAGCAAAAAGAACCGGTAATATCTTCACAACAGGTCAGTGCAAAGATAAAATTATTTTGACTGAGTATAAAATATGTACTTAAAATGTTAAAAAAAAAATTGAAGATATGGTTCTTTAAAGTCACCTGAGATAGGCAAGACAGTTGGACCAAAATTGTTGGAACATTTCCTGCATCGTCACTAGTGTTTTTGGTCACAATCAATACAGTTCTATTACCTTTAGGGTCAATTTAATGTCTGTGTTACAATCCACAATCAGTTCTGAAAGAGCAAAGGCTAGAAATCATTTTTCCTGAAAAAACCAAATTAGTAGAAGCTGGAGACTGCACACAGTTCAGCAGAACTATAATCCAACTGCAAGTATTTAAATATCACACAACCAGCTGACACAGGACTATTAGAAAAATCTTAAAATGCCAAGACTCAGCATCTCGCATATTGCAGTACAGTGCAGGCTGTAAAGAGGGAAATTTATATTTAATGCAACATTTGCTGAGAGCTAGCATACCAGAAATTTATAATTAGATGGTAATGGGGACAATCCTCTTCTGATCAGTTTTACACCAGTAAGGCTCCATTCATCAGTGGTGCTGAGCCTAATTTATGCTAGCGTCAATGCAGAAAGAATTAAGCTAGTGTCCAAGACAGACCACTTTTTTCTCAGATCCTAACCACAAACATGAGCCAGCCCAGGATATTTTTAAAATGCACATGTAAAAATATACTTGTCAGTCCAAAATTCCTAAAAAAAGTTACTTATTTTAGTTAGTAGGTACCAAGACCTACAAGAAGCTGGTACTGGGACATAAAATGAGTGAAGGAGCTACATGTGACATTCCAAGATATGGCCCATAACTTACAAAATGTGAGAACTTATAAACCACATAGATGCTGCAGCATGTTAAAAAAGTATTTTGTTTCTTCTTTAGTTGTGGAAATTCTGTGAAGCCTACATTTTTGGCCAACCTTTAAATGCAGCTGGGATTCAGCTTTAGGCCTTACATTACCATTACAGATTCCTTCAGAATCACTGCACTGTCTGTTACAGATTAATACTAAAATATTGAAAGTCAGCAATTAACACAGAAGTTTTACTACAAAAATAAAACAGAACAGGGAGCTGCAGCAATCCCCTCAAAATAACATTGGTTCTGAATCAATCATACACACACATAAACCCAATCAATTGTAACATAGAGGAAGATATTTGAGAAATTTTACAAGGAACAGGTATGCAAGACATCTGAATTAATACCTACCCACTGCAGCCGATGACTTTATTATACAGGTAAGATGGGAGGCCTTTCAGATGAATATTGTTATCCACATAAACATATTGCAGCTCTCGAGAACGACCTAAATCTGGGTTTAGAAAACAAAAAAGTCAGAGGGAGAAGGGATGACTGACAATTATAAGCAAACCAATTCTCTTTAATTATAAATAAGCTAATAGATTAAATGTAAGCAAACATAAATTAGTACCCCTCAGTTGTAAAATTTCAGCCAATGGTTTTATTATGGATGAGCTGAAAAGCTGTTTAGAAAACAGCATTTAAAATTAATAAAACAAAACAAAACCCCTTTTCAGTAGTCCTGAAAATTCCATTATAAATAATTAAATGTTAACATTGGCAAACTCTGAAGTCAGTTTGAAGAAGCAAATGGACACTTGATTTCAAATCTACAGGGTATACTTCAAGTTCACAAGGTCAAACCTGCTTTCATTAACTGGCCTCACGTCACTGAAATCACAGCTTCACTATCTTTGGTAAAGTGGTAAAGACAAAGAAGAATGTGGTCTGTCCTGCTCTTTTTTTTTTCCTCCAAGAAGAGATACTTGCTTGATTACATTAACCATAACAAAACAAGTCTATGTGATGCAGTAAATTACAGAACACAAGAAAATAGACAAGCATTAAACTGCAGAATATCATACAACAAAAGCTGTGGCTACAAGTAAACGATCAATACATCTGAAGGTGTGCTTCTTGCATTATTTCTGTTAAAATATTCATGGCTGGCAGTCAAAAGCAGCAAGTACAGCATGTTTAAGCAATACATTCACGAACTAGAAATATATTAACATACCTCCAAAAAGGAGCATATGAGGTATGGAATAATTTTATTTTGTTTAGAAAATTAAAGTGGGAAACTGGAGCAAAATTAAAAGGAAAAAATCAGGCTTCTGGGAATCATTCTTAGAAATAAGAATTTTGCTTATCAGCAAGATCTAGTCAGTGGTAAAAGTGCTGTCAGTGGTTTAAACTGCTATCAAAAGAAGTAAAAAGCACGCTAATGTGAGAGATGTTTAAAAAGACAAACCAAACTCAACTAAAAAGAGTCTAAAAGAGTTTTGAACTGGCAAGAAAGCTGATAGGTAAGATCATGTGGGCAGCCCATTTCATCTGTTGTTCCTATGCCGTTTGAGATACTGGGTTAGGAAAAGACAAATGCGTTTAATACAAAGTACAAACCAGTCAAACAATGTTTGAAAGCCTCTCTGCCTGGAAGGGGATAGCTGCAACCCAGATGAATTGCATTATGAAAAAATTAAAAAAACATATCTGTATGCCTCTCAACTTCTTAAACTTTTATGAGTATGCTATAGAAACTAAGCAAGATAAACAAGCAGTTGGCTGAACCAGCCACATTGCAAGACAATACTAATATTGACTAATTCTGTTTTCATCTTTATCAGCTGTCAATTACCTTGGTTGGCATAAAGATAACCACAGAAATCAGCATAACTTCTGTCCCTTTTGTAACTGTGGTCAAGAATAAAATTTTAAAAATTTCCAGGATACTTCTATTCAGAAATTCTATTTGGAATAATTATTCCCTACTATAGCAATAGGTAATACAATCCCTTCTTTAATACTGAATAGTTTTATTGTACACAAGAGCTCTGGACACCACTTAGAGCAGATAAAGCAAACAATATTTTGAGTGATCCACCACGAAACATTTGGCCATCTTAAAATAAACTGAATGTGTTCAGCTCTCACCCACTTGAATGGCAGCTGTAAGCACCAGAAACCTTAAAAGCTCACACTGAGGAAGAGCTTTGGTGGGTGTCATGTTCTTTATATCAAAGATTTGATAATAAGTGATGATACCAACAGAAAACGAATAGATTCCTTTTCTGAAATAAAAATGTTAACATAAAAAACCTGAATTTTGGTTTTTTTCTTTTAATACAGGCCCTTGCCCTGACACAGTCTACAGAGGTTTCAGGGACCAGAATCTGGGCTTTGTTCAAACCGCAGTCACTGGGCATCAGGGGACACGTTCAACCATCACATGCTCCTTTAACCCTGTCCCAAAGCCATTCGAGTTTGCAGAGCTATCTGCTGCATCCACCAACTGTCCTGCCCCAAGAAGCAAGTACAAATTCCTCTGCTGACTGACGGGCACTGCTGCGAGATGCTGCTGTGCATTGTTATGAGCTAACACCTCAAAAAGATTATTTCAGCTCAGTATTGCAGGGCTGAAAATAGTTTAGTAAAGTTCTGGGATATTTTTAGATGAAACAAAAACATTGTTATCTTTCAATGAATAAAAATATTGCAATATAGTGAGGCACTAAAACACCATAAAATGTTGTAAGGCTGGAAAAGAATCAGCCAATAAAATTTAAAGCCGATAGCATGTGCACAGCACACCGAACGCTGAGAGTATCGCCTCACGTTGCAAAGCCAATTATACTAAGAAGAGCAGAAAACTATGGGTTGCTGGGGTAGCTTGAGTGTGCTACTGTTTAACTTATTAATTTAGAGAATGGAAGAAAATTTTTAAAAGAGGCTCATCTTACTCATTTCTACACAGATGTATGCAAATGGGCTGAAAATCAAGCAAGTCAAAAAAAAGCCCTAAAGCTGTTCTTTTCATATGCATGGAAGGGGGAGTTATGCTGCATCTCATCTCTCCCTCTGTCTTTATCTTATGCTATGTTTAGATTCTAAGTTCTGAGATGAGTGCATTGCCTAGGTAATTAAAGCAAATTTTTGGATGTTAGACAAAATATCTCAGTAGGAAAAATTCAATTCCCAAAGCCAAATAGCCTGTAACTATAAATGTTCCTTTGATATAGTTTCTTTGCATTAAATAACCAAGCATCTTCTAGTCCCCAAAAGATTTTTTGCTAGTTTCAAACACTATCCATAAAATTTAAACTTAAATAAATCACCACTTTAAAAAGCTCTTTGTATCCCATCCACATTAATTTTTATGTCTTATATCAGTCAACAAATATTGTTAAAAGTCCCCCAAAAAACACACTTCTGAAGAACTTTGTAAAATAAGGAAGCTGTCCATCTATGAAAAGGCTAAAGCTACAAAGAAGGTTTTCATGTGGCTTTTGCAAGCACTGTGCTGTGTCTAAAACATTTCCACTTTCCTCCTTCCAGGCTCCCAGATCAAAGACCTTTCTCCCAGAAATGACCAAATGCCATGAGTCCTGAACAAACCCCAATTCTAATTTTTTTTTCTTTTTCTTTTTCTTTTTTTCTTAACCGCAGGGCCCTGGCATATGCATTCCACATGGCTGAAGATGGAACAAAAGCTCCTGTGTGTCTGCACTGATGCTCTTTTAACCATACTGTGAGGGCAAGGACACAAAAGCAGCATATACTGAGGTAGAATAAGACCTTTGTTTACTGTGTACTGATAATTACTAGCCCCATTTTCTAAAGAAAAAGTGCACATAAACCCTCCCTAAAGTGACATAACACTGAATATTTGCTGTCATAACAACCCCTGTACTGCCACTACACTTGAGAATTTATGGCCTATTTTAATTATATTTGTACTTAATTACATAAATCATTTTGATTTTTGCAGTGTCATCAGATTCAAATTTCTGCCTGCAATGGAATTTGTTTTCAGGCATTGGAGTATTTGCTAACGGTAAAATTTTCAAGTTAAATTTCTATCAAAGGATAATTTATATTGTAGATTGATATAAAATTATCAGAAGTTCTATCTGCCAATCAAGAACAGAATTCCTAAGACCATTTATTAGGGCAACATGTAAACCACCCTGACAATAACAGGGCTGTCCAGGATGCAGTTTCCTGTTCAACTTGCACATACAATTTGGTCGATTGTTTTGTGGTTTTTTGTAAATAAATTTATTAGGAAGGCCCAAAAGCTCAGATTCACGCAGTCTTGTTTCTTTGAATATAAACCGGAATACTCAACAGCTGATTTTATTTTTTTTTTAAATATGGGCAAACCCAAGAATTAAGCGTATTCTGCAGAACAAAGGGTTAATTCATTATTGTTTACTGATCTGCTTGTTTATGTACCACTTCTGAAAGTTACAGAGTGGCATCAGGTATTTTAATTGTATTTTGTAAAATTTGTAAACTTACACTTTTTTTCCTGAGACTCACAGGCCCAAACTTAAAAGAATGTACAGGACAAAAAAGTGCATAGTACCTATCCAGCAGTGCTGTGAAAGGACTGTGCTACTGCTGGAATAAATCTTACACCTACCTAGGGACAGGAAAATGCAGATTTCCGTTACACTTTACAAGAGGCTCTACTGGCAGCTACAAGAGACATACTTAGATAAAGAATGGATTCCTTGGCATAGTAGATGCGAACCACCATATGAAATAAAGTAAATCACACTTTAAAAAGCATTAAGCAATATGTTCCAAACATATTTCTGCTAACATGGACATGTCTAATAAGAGGAAAAAAACCATTCTGTCAGAGGATGAATAAAAAGTCCGCTTTTCAGCTCAGCTCCCTAACTGAAAAAAATTGCTTGATAATTCTTGCTTGAATATCACTTGTAGGTATTTCTACAGTATCTTTCACTCTTATTTAACGTCCTTACTCAGTCATTAGCTACTGAAGTTGGATGTAAGAATACACAGAAAAAATCCATTAGCCAACATGTGCAGCTAGCAAAAATAAAGCTACAATTGTGCCTTAACTTCAGGAATACTCCATATAGTGCTGTACACACACAAAACATATTTTCCTATATAACAGAAGATAGATTTAATATTTTTGCTTTTCAATACACTTTCTCTTCTACTTTATTTCATCACATCTTGACCATTCCGAAGCCTTCTGATTCTTCAGATGAAGGATTAAACATTTACATTTATACTGTGCTCCTTTTCCTCTGAACTCTAGGATTTATGATTCAGTTTCATATCCACAGATAGCAAATTATCTCCAAATGTTCACCAGTGAGTCACTATTAAGAACTACTGAACAAGGTCAATTGACAGTCTTTGATGTTTCCCTTTATTTTAAAAGTTCCTTTTGAATGTTTTGAATTTGAGTCTAAAAATAAAGAAAAAAGAAGGTGTGTCATTATATTAGAGATTTATTTCCTCCTTTTGAACTTAAAACACTTCAGCACATCTATGGCTCATCCAGGTCAGAGCTCACTCACAGATAAGCTACTAGTGCAAAAGCAGCGAAAACTTTTACCCTTGAATATTTCACATCTTATCTCACTGAACAGCATCTTGTTTTTGCAAAATTAAGAAGATTTAACTTCTCTGTCTCACAAAATGGAGGTAGAAATACTTGCCAAAATAAGGCAAGTTACTTTGTTTGTTTTAGTTAGTACTGTAGAATCTGGATGAGGCATCCTGCAACTCATTTTCTCATTTATATAATGACATATGTTGGGACATAACTAAAACAGTATGTCTGGAGACATTATTTGCACTTACTTTCCAGTAATATAAACCAAGGTGCTAAGAAAATCAGGAAGACCATAAAATTCTTTAAAGACTAAATCGCTGGTACTGAAAAAATTAAGTTAAACCTATACAAGGTAACTAATTTAGAAATTATCTCACTTTTAGCCACCTCAATCTTCATCTTCTTTTTCAATGTGATTATCATAACTCCATCTGCACCTAATTAACACCAAACTCTGATTGTCTTCTAGAAAAACTATTCAAGTGACGTGACAGATTTGCATGTATGTCTATATTTCAGCAGAGATTAGCCCATGGCAGGGTTAAAAAGTAATGAACACATGGAAGAGGATTTGCTTTTCACAAACAGAATGTACAGTCCACACTTAGTGACAACACAACTGCTTCCCCCAACAAACCACCACACACTGACTGCACCTCCTACTCTTGAAGACCTGCTTCCACACTTCTAAACTTCGAAAGGGTTGAAAGGCAGAGAAATTCTTTCCTGTGCTACAGCTGTGGAAGTTTTGATGGATACCTACACACAGCACAAACTAAGCCTTAGCTAGATTATGCTGTACTGACATTCCTAATGATGAAAAATAACTTCTGTGGAGTTACTGGGATTCCACAGCAAGTTTTAAACTCTAGCTGAAGAATCTTAGTTAAATTGTCAGATCCAGCAACAGAAACAGATCATTACCCAAAGCGGTGGAACTCAGATTACATAGTACTATATTTAAACACAACATCATTTAAACATTTTTCCCCCTCAGCTAGCTAAAAATAAAGCAAATTTGGTAGCTGACCTATTGCTTTAAAACAGACATCAAACCTTAACCTGCATTCTTTATTAACATATTTTCCAACAATATGATCACTGTGGCAACTCCATAAACAGAGTCCATAGGGACCACCAACAAGAATCACTCGATTTTTTTATTTTTTTTTCTTTTCAGGGCAGAAAGTTTGTTTTCCTGTTTCTTCTCTGACCCACACTCCAGTCCAATGACAGTGGTGACTCACCAAGTGGCAAAAAGGCAAGGCGGTTTCCAGCCATGGAGAGCTCATTGAGGCTTGGTAGTTGGCACAGGTGGCGGGGAACATACCACAGGTGGTTTCGGTCTGCAGTCAAGTACTGCAGTGAAAGACACATATGCAGCCTTTCGGGTAACGTTATCAAACGATTGGTTGAAATGTCCAGTGTCTGTAGCTCCCTCAGGTCTCCAACCTCTACAATCCAAACAGAAGGCATTAAGAGTTACTAATATAACTGCTTTCACAAACAAGACCACAAAAAAAATCTCATGTAAATTGAAAACAAAGGTCAGCAGTTAGCTGTGCTGTTTTTCTCTTAAGATACTGTTCGATAGAATCTGTGTTCAGAATTGAGACTAATGATCTTCACCATCTTCATATTACAAATCTTTTTGATGAGGAACAGTTATCAGGCAGTATCTTCAAATACGAGATCTCTCAAAATAGAGCATTCCTGAATTGTGACAATTACTAGTGTCAAAAATATCAAGCAGTTTCCTGGTCCTAAATCAGAACTAGAAAAAAAAAAAACAACCCAAAACCCAAACCAAAACACATTACATAGCTTGCTGTTCTTGAGGTTTTTTTGCCTGACCCCAAACTCATACAAATTAAAATTAAGGGTTTTTTTTAAAAACATTTTGAGGATGCAATGCTTATATCCACCTTAGTTAATATTCTCTTGCAATGAGACTTACAAATACATGCATAGCACTTCTTGCTTAGTGACAGTCTTTCACCAAGCATGCTTAGGAACAACGGCTCTGTCTTCATAACACAATTCAAAAGACCTAGTTTAAATTAGAAAAGAAATTTCTTAATAACCTGTAAGCTGTCTTGTTATGTTATATTGTAGGAAGATATTACAGTAGGTTTTAATCTATAGTTACAATAATTACGGCTTCCAGAGATTTTCTTTTTTAACATTTTAAGAATCTGGTTAATGTTTGCAACTTTAAAAGTACATTTTTGTGTTTTAAATATTATTGTATTTTTATTTTATGTAGGTAACAAATTAAGTTCTTAAAAGCCTCAAAGACATGACCACACAAGTAGCCTTGCTTGTGCAGTGATTTTCCTTGTGTCTGACCTGTGGTACCAGGGTGCACTTCTTTAAGGGCTGACTAAAATATATTCAGCAGTTCCACAGGTTATCTCCTTGTTTATTTAGTTATTCTTTTACAGTTCCCCTAAAAATCAGATAATTCTATAAATTATTTTCCCCAAACATAGGGAAACTGTAAACAGTTTTGCTTTGTTTTGAAATACTTTACAGCAATAGAACCAACTCATGAAGTGCTGGGTGCCGCTCATTCTTACTGCCGTTCTCAGCACCTTGCAGGACCACATGTACTTTGCCCTCAGCAGAATGAAACCAGCTCTTGAATCTGATAGCTGCTAAAACAAAAGATTCACCATAATTTTCTACACTGAATACACCAGACAATCTACACAATCCTCAATCTGCACAATTCACAGCTCTACCACACAGATTTTTTTTTTTAAGATATAAATAGGGCAACACTGTTTAAGTTAAAGCTAAACAGAACCTGTTGTGCCCTTAAGGTCTCTCTGCGGCAGGAGCTAGAAAATTCGCTTTTCCCTGAGCTCTGGGATAGCACCTTGTATACTACATGCAAAGAAGAAAACAAAACACTACGTTAATTTCAAGCTATCTTCCACACAATGGGAAAAATAAATGGCAAATCTGAAGGTGACCTTGGGAAAAACTGCTAGAAATGTTACTTTCAAGACTGAAAACATGAGGAAAAGGGAAGCTATAATTCTGTATCAGAGATTTTTACAAAAGTACTAACTGAACAGAATGTGTATGCACATTTCTACGCAGTGCAAACAATCCCAGCATTAACTGCAATAAAGAATTGACAACCTATATAAGCATCCTTTCATAAAATATTACTGACAGAAGCAGCTACTGTAGGCAGGTGACCACACTCTTCAAACCTCTTAGTTTTGATGTCAATAGGAATCATAAGCTTAATTTTCAGGTTTTTTTTTTTTTTTACTACAAGATTGAAAATGAATGGCAAAAGCAAAAATAATCACTACTAAATAGCAAAAGACTCCTGTGTAAAAGAACTGCAGGAGGACTCATTTTTAAAGAGTTTTATATTCATGACAAACAAAGCCATATGCTTGAAAACAGTGACAGGAAAAGAGCCACCTACATTCAGCCAAACCACTGACCACATGCAGTCAATAACAGGCCTAGCTATTTTCATGCACTAACCTTTTTCTCTGCCACTAAAAACAGTTTTCTAATTCAGTTTAGTTCCAAAATCCCATAAATGTTACGGTTGGCAAAGCTGGCAGTGTTTCAAAGGCATTGCTAGAATGATATGTTTCAAATCTAAGAGGAAATAAAAGTATTCTCACTTTATCCTTCATCCAAAAAACACATACTTGCCCCAAAACTTCATCCTCTCTACCTTAATCTTCCAATGCATACCAGATGTAAACATCCACTTTCAACATACAGTGCCATATGTTACAAAAACACCCACCAACCCATGCTGAAGTTAAAAAGTAACCCAAACCACTTAAAGTACCATCAGATTAAAGATAAACCCCCGGACTCCCCCCACCATAGTGTTGAAAGCTCATTTTGAAGAACATGCTCAGACATTTACTAATGACACTAAATTGGTTTCCATCTCATTAAAGCAAAGGAAAACAATAAAGAGGAATAACACAAAATACAAACAGTCCATGAATACGTTTTCCAAGCTTTTAGTTACTATTATCCGCACTTTAAAAATCTTGCAACATAAATACTGAAGGATGCCTTGCCTAACAAACATGGTGAAAGACTTACAAATCTCTCTCTTGCTACCACCTCATCAAGCACTAAGATACATGAGAGGTGGACTTTGGAAATTTCAGACAGACCCAGAAAAGAAAACAGCTATTCCCAAATAAAAAGAACTGATGAAGAAGGGACTTCGATTCAGAGATTCACCACCCTCCCACCCCCCCCAAGGATAAGAAAGAGACAAGCATTACACAGCACCATTAAACCACATCAAGGAGTTCAAATTACTTTTAAATGAAATTCATAAATGTGCAATTTAAAATTGTTATCAGCTCTAGGATTAACACTATCAAAATCAACATGGCAGAGCACCGAGCCCCATTTTGATATCGGAAGCCAGACCAAATTCTCAGTAGCTCCACTAAACCTCTAACTCAGAAAGAGAAGAGTCCAAACGTTAAGTTCCTATCCAATTTTTTGGACCCAAGTGTTTCAGTCGTGTCTGCCTGCATGGCTTACTGCCTTCACGTATAGCTGGGCAATTCTGCATCTTGGCCATATGGTACAAACGTGTTCACGGCATGGTACACCCAGAGTGGCTGACAGCCTGTAAATCCACACACTACCTCACCTCACAGCAAGTGAAACGCACGCTTATACCCTGCGTCCTGCCTACAGCCTTCTGAAGGTGGCTTCAGTGACACAGACGTACACATAAATAATTCAGACTATATTCTAAAACTGCCATCACTTGAGTAATTAATTCATCTTTTTCATCCTTGATAATATGAAGATTGAGAAGTGATTACTGTGGTTCCAAAGAGCAGCCTTTCCATTCCAACCCCTTGGAGAAAGGGACAAGGGAACTGTCATCATCTGCATTTGGCTTTTCAAAGAAAAACTGCCAAATAGGTTTGTCTCTCAATACAAAGAGAAAAGAAACATCAGCATATTATTAAAAAAAAAAAAGAGTGAAACCTTGAAAGAATTTCCAAAATTACTGACCTTCTAACAAAACTGATGGAACTGATGGCATTTGTATAAACACACCTAGCATCAGGAAGAAAAGAAAAAAAAAAATCTATTTCTGATTCAGGTGGTTTAAATGCCAGTTTTAAAAATTAATTCCCGTGGTTTTACATGAAGGAAAAAAAAAACATCTGGAAGTAAGCAGCCTATACAACATACAATTGCCAAAGGCAATTCAAAGTTCCTCAACCTTCTGGGGGCACAGGCTCACCAGCTGCATAACTCAAAAATAACTAACAGTTTTCTTTACATTTCAAGAGCAATCCCACCTTTCCCTGTTGGGCCATAACCCAAAATTTCATCCAAAGATATATGAAACACATAGACAACTGGATTTGAGTGTGTGGAAGGCATGGATTTACTTTAAATCAAACGCTATCTGAGTCTTTCCATCCAAGTAAAGGAAAAAAGGGGACAGGAAAGGGCTACAGACCTACCTGCATGAGAATGCACCTCAAAGCAGGATATTAAGAGAAAGCAGAGAACCTACAAGGAATGGAAAAAGGGACTGATCAGCAAAGAGAGCTGGCACTCGGAGGTCAGGCCGCAGAAGTTAAATGAAAACTGCCAGAAGGCCAGGAAAATGGGAACTCACAGACAAACAAAAGGTTTCTCAACAAGAACTAAAGAGCAAGCAATGAAGAACTGGTGTCAACAACGGGTAGAAATTAGGAGGACAGACCAAACACTAAATTAACTTTTTGCATCATTTTTTCCTGTAAGAATAATGCTATGTACAAGGACAGAGACAGAATACCTCATGGGAACAAGGACAAAGCACTGAAAATTACCACATCCATTACTAAAAGAAATGAGGCTGCTTAAAAAATTTCCATCCCAGAATACTGGAGAAAAAGAAAAAAAAAGGGTTATTTATCAAAATTGCAAACTCAGGCACGAGGATTCTCAATGAATAGGACATTTTCTGGGATAGCAGCCTAGGGTTGGAGAAGAAACATAGAACCTGTGTTCAAAAATGCCCCGTTAATGTGAACTCGGTGCTCTTCAGTATCTTACAAATGTTCTAAGTGAAGAGCAACCAAGATTAACCAATGACTGGAACATAAATAACAGAATGAAAACACAACCCAGATCTTTCCAAATATAAATCATGTTATACTGGCTTATCTTTGTTTAATGAAACTTCTTGGTTAATGGTAACACAAGTATCACATCTCATAGCAAATTACTGGGATGGAGAAAACATTACTAGTGGTGGTGTTCCTCAAGGGTCTATTTTGTTTAGAATTTCCATCTTGTACCTTGGTTAAAAAAAAATACTACGTTTTGGTTTGCTGTCATCATAAGCATTTAAAGTACTGGTAACATGGCAGAGAACCAAATTATCATACAGGGAGAAAGAACATTTAAACTTAAGCGATTGAAACGGAAT